CCCCCCGTACGTTTTTAAATGTTCCTGTGTTTTTCAAGACAATTGATATTCATTCATGATTTCTCTGGGGGTGGTTGGTGGGTGCTCTGGTGTGGTTTGCTCCTTCTTTCCTATCAATCATCGATCTCCCTGATCTCTCCTTCTGTTTTGTGTTTGTTACTCTCTTGTAACACCTGGAATCTTCGGCTCCTATATGACCTTATTGTGTTGCAAGTGCCCTAAAACTTTTACTGTAACTAACTTTTTTTCTTCTCTTCTCTCTCTCTCTCTCTCCCCTCCCCCTGTACGTTTTTCAATGTTTCCGTACTTTACAAGACAAATTATGTTCATTCATATCTCAACTCATTTTTTCTTTCTCTCCCAGTGTCGTCCATGCCTGTGAGGGGTCTCCAGCCACAAGACCGCAAGCAGTCGGCGCCGGCGTTTGGAGCCTTGAGGGCGGAGGCAGAGAGGAGGGAGAGGGAGGAGGAGGAACGCCATCTGTCTCGCACCACGGAGATAGAGAACATTCCAGAGCTAGTGGAAGAGGACAGTGCCGCACATGTGTCACCGCCCAGGCAGAGGTGAGGGGGTGGGGGTGGGAGGGAGGAGCTTGAGTTTGTCGCGTTCTGTCTATTCTGGGGGCTCGGTGGGATACATGTTCGCACTGAGTCCTTCTCTTTTCCTTTCTTTTTTTTTTCCTTAAAAAAAAATTTCTTTTCCAACTCAGCCCATTACGGTACTTCTTTTTTGTTTCTTTCCCATTCATCCCTTTTCTTCAATTTTCTTTTCGTTTCCACCTAGGTCCTTTTCTTTTCTTCTCTGTTCTTTTTCTTGGGCGGGGGGGGGGGGCAGGGCAGAGTGTAACTCAAACTTAATCTAGTCAGTCTTCTTTTATATACTGCTGTCATGATTTGCTAGCCTTTGTAAATGTGTTAATTATTATTTTCTTTAGCTACGTTGTTTTGGTATTTTGTCTCGTCTTACGTACTTGTCCATCTTTGTGACAGTATGTTAGACTCCCCTAAGTGGGTGGTTTGTGGGTGCTCTAGTGGTGTGATTTGCTCTTTCTCTCCTGTCGAACATTGATCGTCCTTATCTCTCCTCCTTTTTGTGTTTGTTACTCTCTTGTATCACATTTAATCTTTGGCTTTTATATGACCTTAATGTGTTGCAAGTCCCATAAAACACTAAAACTAAAACTGGAACACGTGTTGTCTTTGGCACTCATGTGACCTTATTGAGTTGTAAGTGCCGTAAAACTTGTACTAAAACAAAACAAAAATTTCCCTTCCTTACTTGTGCCATGTTTGTGACACCCTATGTCTTATCACCGGTGGTGTAGTGTGTTGGCACTTCGCTGTCACATGCAGGAGACCTCAGTTCGATATCTGAGTAACGAAAAAAATTTTGGTTGAGTATATTGGTCTTCTTTCTGCTAGCATGTTGTAACCCTTTCAGCCCTGGTTGGCTCTGAGAGACTTGGTTGTAAGCTGTCCTCTTAAATTATAAAGATTTAAATTGTCACTTGTGTTGATGGGGATGTTAAAACATCTACATTTTAAACGGAAAAAGTGGGTGGTTGGGGGGTGCTCTGGTGTGGTTTGCTCCTTTTTTCCTATTAAACATCTATTGTACTGGTCTCTCCTTCTTTTTTGTGTTTTTTTATGTTTGTTACTCTCTTGTAATACCTCTTATCTTTGGCGCTTATTTGACCTTATTGTGTTGCAAGTACCGTAAAACCCCTACTAAAAAAAATAATTAAAAAACATTTTTTTAAATTACATCGTTAATCCTATGTGTTGTCCCCTGCCCCCTCCTCCTCCTCCCCCCAGCCTGCTACGGTCCACCAGCGTGGGCGTGCCACATCAGAGCTCAGTCCGCTCCGACGACTTCGACGACCTCCCCCCTCCTCCTCCCTCCCCTCCCCCGCTGTCCTCCCCGTCACCCCCTCCCCCTCCCCCTCCCTTTGAAGACTCGATCGAGTCCAGCTCCCCGCTCCCCCCGGCCCCCGTCTACCTGCGGGGAGCCAGCCTGGATAACGAGACGGAGGACGACAACAACGACCTTGGGATCCAGATGCAGGCTGCAACGGCGGGTGGGGACTCGAGCGAGGAACTCCTCAACGACGCGGTACAGAACCAGGCTCTGATCCTAGCCCAGGCACAGAGGCATGCCGTGCTACAGCAGAGAGAGGAGATCGTCAATGACGAAGCGACCACCGATGTCAGGCCGCCGCTACCACCGCCGCTCGAGAACGGCCAGGACCAAGACGAAGAGAACCAGCACGACCTGACGGCTGAGATCGGGGACGTGAGCGCGATGAGCGCCATGAGTGAGACGGCTGATAGCCCCGCCCACAGCAGTGTCCGGGCAGCGAGCGAGGCCAGCATCACGTCGGGGCCCGACCGAGACCGGGACGACGAGCACAAGAAGAGGTCACGGGTGAGTCAGGGACGAGGGAGGTGTTTTCATGTACAGGGAAGTTGAGACGAGATGGGATGTTGTGTATGGGGAAGTTGAAAAGAGGGAGGCGTTGTTGTGTATGGGGGAGTTGAGACAAGGGGAGATTGGGCGTTGTTGTGTATGGGGGAGTTGAGATGAGATGAGGTGTTGTTGTTGTGTATGGGGGATTGAGATTAGATGGGGTGTTGTTGTGTGTGGGGGAGTTATGACGAGATGTTGTGTATGGGGGAGTTGAGACGAGATGGGGTGTTGTCATGTACGTGGAAGTTGAGACGAGATAGTATGTTGTGTATGGGGAAGTTGAGATGGGATGGGGTGTTGTTGTGTATGGGGGTTTGCTTTGAAGGTGATACATGGGTGGTTAGCTTTTTTTCTTTCACAAAATGACTTGTCCTGTTTCAGTGTCCTTTGTGGGTTGTGGGAGGGTTCCACTGATAGGTCTGACTTCTTTACTTTCTCTCTGTTGTTTCTGTCTGTCTGTCTGTCTTACTTTTCCCCAGCGCTAAATGACCATTTTTGTGTCGATGTGCTTCTCTTTACTCAAAACAAAACAAATCCGTGTATTTTTTTTTGGTCTTTAAAACCCTTTCTTTTTCTCTCCTCAAATCTGACTCTTTTTCTTTTTCTTCCCTCTCTTCTCAAACCCGACTCTTTCCTGCTCTCTAACAATGTTGCATCGTCTGCTTTCGTTTCCTCTTTCTGCCTCCACCCCCTTACCTCCTTTGCCCCCTCTCTCTGGGCTCCTGACTCTTTTTGCAGTCTTTCTACTGCTACTTCTTGGCTCCTTCTTACTGCTGTCTTTCAGCCACACCCCTTGTCTTTTGGTAGGAAAGATCTACATATAGCCTTCTCGGACAAGGGCGAAAAATCTCGGAGGTCCAGTATGTAAGTCCACCAGGGCAAAATTCAAAATTTCCTACCAACTAAAAATGTTTAATGTATCCCACGCGCTCACATGACCATATGGAGTTGTGAGCGCCATTAAACCCTTACAAACAAAAAAACGCCAAAAGCCCCAACTCTTTTTCTCTCTCTCTCCTCTCTCCTCAAATGAGATTTTCCTCCCCCCTCCCCAGCACCGGCCGTCAGACACAGCCTACTACATCGCCAAGGAACTGCTCATGACAGAGAGGACCTACAAAAAAGACTTGGAGGTGATCTGTGTGGTAAGTTTCACAAAGCTGTCGACCTTTGACCCAGTGTCATTGCGCGACCCCAGAGCTTTCTTGTCCTATTTTTAAACAGTGAAAACAGTTCATAACAAAGAGTGAGCTTAAGAAGAAGTCACATTTTCAATGTTGAAAAAAAAATGGAGATACGACAAGAAAGCACTGAGGTCGCGATTGTAGAATGGTTTTTTATTGAACATTTTTCTATGTGCTGTTGAGGTTAGAGAGGTGAGCAGAGTAAGCCTTATTCCCCCTTTGGACTTCTCTGTTGACATCCACCCCTTGGCGCTCATATGACCGTATGCAGTTGCGAGCGCTGTAAAACCTTACTGAAACTAAAAAATTTAGCTGACTTGTAATGTTGATTGTAACAGAAATTTAGAGAAACACTTTGTTCTCTTTACCTCATGGTGGTAGTAGGGTTGGGTCTGGCTCGCAAAATTAGCGTCCGCGAGTAACGAACTACTCGCTGGCACTACCCGCAAACGAGGGGGGGGGGGCT